TAATCCACTCTGCATAATCAACACGCCCTCTTCCTCTTCACCTTCCACCTCAGAAAATGTCAGCACCAGCTCAGGGTATAAGTCTGAGACCTGGGAGTCCCACCAGACTCCTCTCTAAACCCAGCTGCATCCTCTGACCCTACCCAACCTTGCTGGCTCAAGTCCAGCATTTCTTTCCAGATCTCTGCTCTACCCTTCTCTCTGCACTCTACCGCCAAACCTGCCCTTCACCAAACTAGACTTACTTTTCAAAAGTGCAAATCCCTATTTAAAAATTTTTAGACTTGGGGCTGGAGAGATGGCTGAGCAGTTAAGAACACTGGTTGTTCTTGCAGAAGACCTGGGTTTCAAACCCAGCACCCGCATGGCAGCTAACAACTGTCCATAACTCCAGTCCCAGGGGATCCGACAGCCTCTTCTGACCTCCATAGGCATTGCACAATACGGGTGCACTTACCTACATGCAGGCAATACACACATACACATAAAATAAAAATAAATAAATAAAATTAAATTTAAAAAGTTAAAAAAAATTTTTTTAGACTCAAGTCCTTGCCAGGACCTTCAGTGCTGCTCATAACCTAGCCCCTGTGCTAATCATTCTAGTTTAATTGGGTCACATGCAATGCCGGCACCTCAAAAGTGTCACAATTCATGCTTTCCCTCTGCTTGAAAAATCCCACTTCACACCTCTTCATTTGGCTCAGTCCAATCCATCCACTGAGTAGCACTGCCTTCCCTGCAAACCCTCCCAACCTTGCTTGCTCCCTGTCCAGCAGGTGTCTGTGTGCCTATGTCCTTCTGTCAGGATACTCAGCATACTTTACTGTGATTTCCTCTCCCCCCAGAATATAAGCCCCTTGATAGCTGTCACATGTGTCTGTCTTTGGACCACCATCTCACTAGCAGATGTCAAGATATCATACATACTGTAAGACAGGTACATGAAGAGACTAAAGGGCCTGGCATGTCAAAGGTGCAACACACATGTAATCATTATCAGTCAGGCACAAAGCAACTTTTAAAGCAGGGAGTGAGTGAACTGAATTTTAATTGAGCTGCTTATCTCCAGTGCCTTCGTGCTCAGTAGAGGCAGGACAGAGTCCACTTTTAGCTACAAGCCCCACCCTGAGCTGATAGTACTTCTTGGCTTCTTAGTGGCTACTGGGAGCCACTTTCTCCCCAGGAGTCCTCACTACGGGACTCATCCTTTTCATATCACAGGTCCAAGATCATTCAGACCGGGGCAAGGCACTCTCAGTCTTGCTATATACTGCCAGGCTATCCACATGGTCACTGAACCTTACTGTTTCCTCATTCACTTAAAAAAAAAAAAAAAAAAGACATTTGGAAAACAAGTGAAAAATCCAAGTGATTAGAAATGTATAAAACACTACGATCAAAACATGAGTCTCAGTTCCTCTGAGGTTTTCTTCTCAAGGGAAAGCAGTCAGGCCATGAGAAGTTTGAGCCAGAGTCAAGTGCAGGGAAGAGACCAGAGTGGAGAGAAGAGGGTGTCCTATGCAACGTTCCCAGTGTGCAGCCTGCTACAGGGGGTAACTGAAAGCTGACAGCAGGGAAGGGTCAAGCTCCACAGGTACAAGTTGGTATGCCAACAGAAGTCCTTCAAATGCCTCCTTACTGCTAACCATCTGGGTTGCAAATGATCAACCTGCTCTTCTTTACTGCCCAGCTAAGTGCTGGGGGTGGGGAGAGCCAAGAGCACGTTGAAAGCGCTCTTCTGAGAAAGGTCCGTTTCCAGGAGCAAGTGCCTTTCCCCCCAGGCTCTTGGCATTGCATTTCTTATTATTTCTAATAGTACATCTTCCAAATCACCTTCTAAATAATGTGTAACCTCTGGATGAGACAGTAATGACCATAGACATGAGGGCTGTCACGCAGGGGAACTAGTAAGTAAGAATTCCATTCACAGGTTCTACTACCTGGATGTCTGTAAGAGAACAGCCAAGTTAGTCAAAGAATCATTAGCATATTATTGTGTCAAAATACGTAACAGTTGTTTAAACAGCTCCAGACAATCCATCACTGTCACTAAGGGGCCTGGAGAAGTATACCACCATTAAACTGATTGGTTGACACCTTTATTTATGACTTTTCAAGTAAAAACCTTTGAAAATCTACAGGAAAAAGGAACGATACAGAAAGAGTGTCTCAACACAAGCAGGGATGTGAGTTGGGATGGTAAACTCAGGTCCCAAATGCTAGGTTTGAATCCTACTCCCATCCCCCAAGGAGGGTGACTTCACCTCATTCAGGTTCCATCTCTCTAAAGTCTTGTAAGTTGGGCTTGTTGTGAGCATCAATTGAGCTAAATAAATCACTTGATATAGTAAGGGACTAATAAGTGTAGGTGGAGTAGGGGAGTATATCAATAAACTTTGGTAATGGAAGAGCATCCATATCACCAACAGAAGTTTAAAACTGATTCTAGCCTGCTCAGTGTAACTACCTCCCACCCACCCCACTGAAATAAAAGTTCTCTGACTCAAGAAAGCTGCTTCTAGAACAGATCCCTAAGCAAGTCATCGAAACTCTGGAAACATCATACAGGCAAAATGGTCTTAACCCTAAGGAATGCACTAGAATAAGTATCTAAAAAGAAATGCAGAGGGCTGGGATACAGTTCATAGTAAAGGATTTTCCTGTAATGAGAAAGAGACAGAGAAGGAATAAAGAAAGAAGGGAAAAGTGAGGAATGGGGAGGGAGGAAGAGGAACTAAGATCTGTTTTCTGAAATTACGAAACATTGTGGAAATAAATTAGAGAACACAAATAAATCCGTATGGAATTGTAAAGGACTCAGAATAGTCAAACAATACCCAGAGTTGGATGACTCATGCTTTTTGACTTGGAAACTTACTACACAACTATAATGTCTAGACAGAGGTGCTAACAGAGAAACTCACATATAGATGAATAAGAGAGAATTGAGAGTCTAGAAATAAACCTAAGTTTTTATGAGTAGTTGATTTTCAACTGGAGTTGCCAGACCATTCAGTGGGGAAAGAACAGTGTGTTTAATACATTAGTGGGATAGCTAGACTGCTACATGCAAAAGAATGAAAGTTGGAGCCCTTACCCTCACACCATATATAAAATGTAACGAAAATGGATCAGAGACCAGCTAGAAGGTCAGAGCCAAAACTGTAAAACCTCTAGAAGAAAACAAAGGAGCAAATCTTCATGGCCTGTGTTAGACAATGGTTCTTTTTGTGGCACTGAAATGGACCCTAGAACTTCATGTCTGCTAGGCAAGCACTCTGCCACTGAGCTGTAGCCCAGTTGGCTATAACTTGAACTTGTAATCCTCCTGCTTCAGCTGCGAGTAGCCAGGACTACTGTCCTGTACCACCAGGCCTAGTTTAAAGAGTGTTTTCTCTTGTTTTTGTTTTGTTTTCTTTTGTTTGAAACAGTCTCACTATGTAGCCTAGGCTGACCTCAAACTCACAATCTTCCTGCCTTTGCCTACTACAGGCTACGGTTAGAGATGTGTGCCACCATACTCGGCTAGGCAATAATTCGTATACATGGCACCAAGTCACTGAATTATACATTTGAAGGGCTAAGTTTTATGGCATGTGGATTGTCATATATGCATATATATACATATATATACATGTATGTATGCATATATATAAAAAGAACATGCTATTTAAAGAACAAACTGAAGGAAAATTAAACTAAGCTCCTTGTGACTTGAATTCTGGCTGGCTGGCTGGCTGGCTGGCTGACATGGTGAACTGAAGGCAGGTACCCACAGCTCTCTGTTCTGTCTCCTCCCTGCCGCCTCCCTCAGAACCCTACCCAACTCTTCTATATTCCCACCCTCTCCCCCACAGTGGCTGCAAGAATGAGAGCACAGCTGATACTCCCTATGAGCTGCACATCAGGATCACTCAGGTGGCAGCCCACTGAGGTGATGGATGGTAGGAACCCTCCGGTCCTTGAGCCACAGAGAGACCTTCAGTGCTCAGCTCATGCCTTACATCATTCCTGACTAAACTGACCAGCCCCCATCTCTTCTGACACCTTGGCTCCCTGCCTCTTACCCTCTCGACTCTCCAGCACACATGTAGACCTGCCAGTTAAAATACAGGACACCCAGTTAAATTTTAATTCTGAGTAACCAACGAACATTTTTAGTAGACATGTACTCACAATATTGTATTATTCATTATCTGAATTTTAAATTTTAACCATCTCTCTCTCTCTCTCTCTCTCTCTCTCTTTCTCTCTCTCTCTCTGCCTAGAATCTTCTTCCCCTAGGTGGTCAAATGGCTCCCTCTCATACCTCTGATCTTCACCATCTCATCACAGGGGATCCTCATAACCACCTTCCATGGAAGAGCAACCTCTCCCTGACAGGCCAATGCCCTTTCCCTGAGAGTACCCACTACCACCTGAGGTATCACATATGTAGTAATCATCCTCCGTCCCCTTGATAGTTCAGAGACTGGTTGAGGACTGGGCTGCTTTCACTCACTGCTAAATGCTCGGTACTCAGAACAGATCCTGGCACAGAGTGGGCAATAAGTTGATATTTACTGAATGGATGCACAAGTGTTGTGTATGGATTATTGAATCAAATCTCCTCTTATGAACAGCCCTCTCACACAAATATCAACACCATAAATGAGGGGTCCAACACAGGAGAGGGCAAACAATTCACCCAGGGGCCCACTGCAGATGCAGGGCCAGACCCCAAAGCTTGTGCTGTCACCCAATTTCCCATACCCACTTATTGCCTCAGGCCAAAGAGAATCCCAGAACTCAGGTTTTCAATTCCCTTTCATTTAGATTATTCTGGTTACATGAAGGAAAGAGCCACCGTATCAAAATATCCATATTTTGGCCTGACACCCTAACCTGAGCGTTTAATTGCCCTATTTGATTTCACCTACACAAATGTTCGACAAGTGTTTCAAATAGCCACTTAAGTTCCCGCTAACAGAGAAGTGTCTGTGGGTATTGATACTCACTTTTATTTCTTCTTTAACGGCGGGATTTCGGAAATTTAAATCAGGTTGCTCTTTCAAAAACTGGTGAAAATAGCATTGCTCCCGTACGTCATCAAAGTGCCAACTGGAGTTTCCATACACACTTAGCTGGCAAACAAATAGAAGGGCACATCAGTTATTTCACTTGTTCCATGATGGCTCTCCTCACACAGACACGATTATTGCCATACCCACTCCTTTGTGGGCAGGTGTGTAAATCCCAGGAGTTCTTTCCAGGGAAAGCACTAAGCTAAATCAACCCCATTTCACTCATCAGCCTAATGCTCCACAAGCATAGTTATGATGTATCTGTCCAGTAGATGCTTTCATAACAAAACACGGCACCAGGCCAGTGTTCCCAAGTCTAAGACAAGGCCAACTTAAGGAACATCATTACTAACATTTTCTTGAATCTTCTGCCCAGGCTCTAAACTCTTATATGTGAAGCAAATGGTAGAGAAAGAGATATTCTATTGGTCTTAAAACATAAACCCAGAGATAGTGAATATTCACTTTAAAACTCTGCTAGTTGGGGCTAGAGAGATGGTTCAGCAGTTAAGAACACTGCCTGTTCTTGCAGAAGACCTGGGTTCGAATCCCAGCATCCACATGGCAGCTAAACTGTCCATAACTCCGTTCCAGGGGGATCCAACTCCCTCTTATATTCCCTGAAGGCATTGCACAAAACAAGTGCACTTACATACATACAGGCAATACATACATACACATAAAATAAAAATAAGTAGCTGGGCATGGTGGTGCAAGCCTTTAATCCCAGCACTCGGGAGGCAGAGGCTGGTGGATCTTTGTGAGTTCAAGGCCAGCCTGGTCTACAT